TCCTGACCTGGCTCTATCCTATCTTATCGTATCCTGCTCTATCCCTATCCTACTCTATCCTCTCCTATCCTATCACCATCCTGTCCTGTCCCCATCCCATCGCACCTCATCCCACCCGGCCTCGTCTCCATCCAATCTCATCTCATCCTACCTGACCTGTCCCCATCCCACCCCATACCCATCACATCGTATCCTCATCCCACGCTACCTCATCCCATCTCACCCTAGACCTATCCTATTCCATCCTGTCCTATCATACCCTACCTGACACCATCCTGTCCCATCCTGACCTGTCTCCATTCCATCCCACCTCATCCAATTCTGCCCTAGCTCCATCCCATCCTACCCTATCCTATCCTACTCTATGCTATCCCACCCTGACCTGTCTCCATTCCATCCACCTCATCCCATCCTGCCCTAGCTCCGTCCCATCCTACCTTATCCTATCCTACCCTATCCTGCTCTATCCTGTCCCATCCTGACCTGTCTTGTCTCCATCCCATCCAGCCCTCAGCACATCCTGTCCTCATCCCATCCTGCCCTAGTCCTATCCTATCCCATCCAATTCTATCCTATCCCATCCTGACCATGTCTTGTCCCCATCACATTCAGCCCTGTGCCCATCCAATCTTATCCCATCCAATCCTAACCCATCCTACCCTGACCTGACTTGTCCCCATCCCATCTCCATCACTTTCTATCCTCACTCCGTCCTAACTCATCCCATCCTGCCCTAGTCCTATCCTACCTCAGCCCATCCTGACTTGTCTTGTCCCCATCCCATCTCATCCTGTCCCATCCTATCCCCATCCCATCATCTTCCATACTTTCGAACCTCATCTGATCCTGTCCCATTCCATCCCATTCTGTCTTGTTCCCATCCTATCTTGCCTTATCCTCCTCCTGTCCCCCTCATTTGCCCTATCTCTATCCTATCTCTATCCTATCTCTATCCTATCTCTATCCTATCTCTATCCTATCTCTATCCTATCTCTATCCTATCTATCTCTGTCCTGACCTGTCTTGTCCCTATTCCATCCTGTCCTATCCTATCCTGTCACCATCCAATCCTCACTTATATCCAGCTTATGCCACCCCATTCTGCCCTATCCCTATCCCAACTTGTCCCATCCCGTTCTACCTCATCCTATTTCATCCCATCCCATCCTGCCCAATCCCCACCCCACTCTATCCTATCCTACCCCATCTATCCTATCCTACCCCATCCTGGCCTGT